TTCTAAAGAGATAAATGTGGAGCCTAATACATCTGTCATTAATTCTTTCTGCAAATAACAACAATCTGCCGTGAATTGACACTTCACAACATAAATAAATATATATATATAATGACCTATATTTGCTTATCTATTGTGTTTTTATCTTTTTGCACATAGTACAGCAGTAATTTCCTGCATATATGGCAAGACTTCTCATGAACAAATTTACCTTTCTTCAAAAGGATCCAAAGCTTGGTCATCAGCTAAGGCCTCAACACCAGCCATTAGAAAATCTTCCCTGTAAAGATAATGTCAGAAGTGTTTGGTGGTGTGATGTTAGTTCTGAACCAAGTGTGGATATGCAAGGTGTAATTTAATGTATGAAATATCATAGCACAAAAACGTGAATATTTGTTTTACAGAAAAGATACTAACCCCTCAGACACAGGTTCAATTGGAGATAATCGATGCGACATTTTAGCTGCTGTTCTCTTACTGGGTGTCGAGGTTGACTGCACATAACCTCCCTGAATTGCAGTTTCAGGAGCCTGCTTCTTCCGGTAGCTGGAAAACACATTTTTAAACAAAAATGTCAACAAGTTGGTTGAGACTCTACACCTTCTGTTTACATAGATCAATAATGGCTAAGCATCTTTACCTGTGGCACAACTAGTAATATGAAAATGCATGTCAGTTCAAAAAAATTATTTATCATTTTCACAAACATATTTTATTCTGACCTACATTCAACAGGACAAATTTAGAAAAATAAACACAAACTTCTGCACAACTTTACTTTTAGTAAAACATGTAGTAATGGCTGACTAGTTATTTACTCTTTTGTAGCACAGCACTAACGTTAGGAAAAGATATTCCAATGGGGTTCTGTTACACAAACCCCAAGAATAACATTATCTACTGAAGTAACAGTCCTGCTTAGAGGTTGGACTGTAGATCAAATATGACATAATTCTAAAGACTCATCTTTGGTTTGGAAAATGTCCGTTCTCTTCTGTGGTACATAGAAACTGAAGCGTGATCACAGCTAACATGCTACCGCACGCTAGCTCTCTCCAACTGATCGGTGACGTCATATAATCAAATCAAGCTCTGTTTACTTTTCTCGTCAGAATAAACGGAGCACCCATTTATCTCCAAAATCATGCGGTGTGTCGTCCACAAAACGTAGAAGTGATCTGATTACTCTGTAACGGAATGGAGTGATGTAACTATCTAGAGTTGTATTTTAATACACTGTAAGTAGATCACATGTAATAATCAAAAGATGGGCTGTTTTTATCATCAGGGAGTTTAATTAAACACTCTGTATTGACTTTGAGACAAGAAAAGAGAGAGAGTTGGGATCGTTTAAGAATCTTTAATTTCTTAACTATGAATTCTTAACAATCTACCAGGACTAACTCTGTGATGGATGAAAATGGATTTGGATGTTGTGTTGGTGCGTGTGTGTGTGTGTGGTTGGTTCAGACTCCTTAGGCTGACGTCATTGAATCTGGTAGTCTTTGTTATGAGTAGATATCACGAGGCTTATAAAGTGATGACATGAGCTGCTATTTTGCCATGTACGTACCCAGTGGGGGGCCTCCCAGGTAGATCAGGAAATGCCAGGTCCAAGAACCTCGGATGTGTACTGGAGCTGTTCGAAGCAGCGGTCGCAGCACGTCAAAGCCCGTCTGAAGGGTCGACCCCGGTACCAATCGGCAGTGTCAGCAGGTGCTCTTATTTTGAAAGGATGTCGTCTGGTTGTTAAACGACGAAAATCTTCACAGTTCTTAGTTTAAAGAAGAAAACACATCTGGCCAGGCTGTGCTTCTCTTTGGGATGACGGTGAATAGAACTGAAGTCAAAATGGAACTGGCTTAAAATGGCATTGCCTTGTTTTATATCTCTGAATTGTTGATAAGTTTTAGTAAAGCAGATTGGACACTTTAAGTCAACAAGCCAGATTCTCTTGCGGCAGCCGAAAGCTCTGATTGGTTGGAACAATGTGTCATGCGTTTCTATGGAGATGAGGGTCAGTCTGTCTGTGCAGTAGTCCTGTTTTCATTAAACACATAAATCATGACATCTTTATTCCACAGATCATTTACTTGATTATTATTGATCAACATCTGGTTCGACTAGCTTTAATCACAAATTAAGTACTTTGATTATTGAAAAGCGTTCTTCTCCTTCTGGCTCTTCTCCTGGAATGTAAACAGTCTGAGGAACACCCGACCTTGGCGTTTTCTACACAGGTGTTACTGTGTACAGGGGCAGCTGTGTGGAGCTGAAAATAATGAACTTCATAACCTTACAACTCCTTAGTTGCTTTTAGCTTTTTCAAACTGATCAGGAAGCCATATGCTAAACACCGTTAGCTTAGATAAGTTTCTTGTTCATCTGCACAAAGATTTGTTAGATTACCTAAATCCGCATTATCTAAACCCATAGGTTTTATTTTATTTTCTTAAACTGTGCAGATACAGCTCTGATATGTTTACCTACTCGTTACTGAAACCTACAGCAGACATAAGGAGACCAGCTAATACAACACTTACCTGCTCACTAGAAAATGCGCCATGTCCGCATCCTTTTCAGGCCCAAATTGAGTTGAACCAGCCTCATTCTTCCAGAGCGTACCCAATACATATTCGGGTCCCTGACCGATTTTTATATTTTCTTTTTGACTCTCGAGATGCCGCTGATAAAACCTTCTTTGTGCCACTCTTTAGTGGGCTTTGCTAGAAACCATTTCCAGGGTTCTTCCTCTTCTGTTTGAGGTTTGAACGTGGCTAGTAGTGAAAGACGCATTACCGCCACCTAGCAAGCTTCCAAATGTTTTTCCGGGTTTGAACCTAGTCGAGAATGCGCTTGAAGTGTCAATTAACGTCGCATCCATAAAACAGCGCGGGAAATTCGGATCAGAAATGTTTTGCATTTTGCAGCACACAGCCTGATTAACAAAATGGAATGATAAACTGGTTTCATCATTCTTTTTAGTTTAAAATGCTTCATCACCCATAAGCTTCACAAGAATGAACATGAATCCTATTTACTTCTTGTTTTTGGACAATTCCTGCCCCATGCTCCTTTAAAGGCTTTAATAATAAACACGCTGACACTGAAACAATGATCCAACACGAGACACAGAACTGAAGGGGTTTAAATACGAGAGGGCTGAGAGCTTGGGTGATTGGAAAACGAGAAGCAGGTGGGAGCAGTTAACAGAGACACATGGCTGAACCAAACGGGGAGACAGGACAGGGTGTGACAGGTTGGAGGTAGTTAAATGCTTTGATTTTATTGAGGTCATATTTTTTAAGTTATGGTAAACATAAAGTTTTTAGATAAGTTAAATTAAAAATTATTAGGTAATCAGTTTCCTCATAAATTTTGAGTTCAGTGAACTTATTCGGGGTTACAGTGAAAAGAAGAAACAATCTTTTATATAGCGCCTCTCAAGATGAAAATCATGAAGCGCTTCACAAGAAAAATAAATAAATAAAGGATTTAAAATAATTTAAAAAGTATAATAAAAATTTATTTTCAATTGTGATTAAAATATGTAAAGAAAGGGAAAGAGAAAATGAATAGAAAATAGGTAATCAGAGGATCCTGAGAAAGACAAAATAGGTAGAGAGAGCAGATGAAGGAGAGGGTGGTGATGAAGGCCATACCAAAGCCAACTTGAACAAGTGAGTCTTCAGCTGCTTTTTAAAGGAGACCACTGAGTCCACTGATCTCAGGCTCAGGGGGAGAGAGGTCCAGAGTCTGGGGGGCCACAGCAGCAAATGATCTGTCACCTTTGGTCTTTAGCCTGGTGCGCTGCACAACCAGTAGGCTTTGATCACTGGACCTCAGGGACCTGCTGGGGGTGTAGGGACTAAGATCACCAATGTAAGATGGTGCTTGTCCATGTAAGGTCCTATATACCAGAACCAGAATCTTGAAATGAACCCTGAAGTTGACTGGCAGCGAATGAAGCTGGAGGAGAAGCGGGGTGATGTGGGTGTGTTTGGAGGACTTGGTCAGAAGCCGAGTACAGGCATTCTGAACCACCTGTAGACGGTTCAGGGAGGTTCTGCTCAGACTATTTATTGTTATTTTGTGACAGATTTCTTAAAAATAAATATTAATTGTCCTAACCCTAAATGAATAAAGTACATTTTTTTTATCTTAACTTTCTCTGAGCACTTTTTTTCATTGAGACAAACCACACACTCCCTTTGCCTTTTGGCTTTTGTCTCTGCCTTTGCTGTATTTTCTCCTTCTGCATAAAGAACCCTGTCAGTTTGCTCGTCGCCCACAGTCCAGCTGAGGAATGTGAGCTGTTTAAAGGGTGGACTGTGTGCCGGGGCCCTGCCACAATGACCGAGGCCTGTATGATAACTCAGACCCAGATCGCTCCGCATGATTAAGCAGCAACAACCGCTCTGTAACCTCAGCTCTGGACTCAGTGTTATGGCCAACCACATCTTTGTTTTACAAAAAAAATAATAATAATAAATAAAAAACAAACAAACAGAAAAGAGCAGGAAAACATCAGAATATTAATTTTGTTCAAGCAAATGTATTAGGTCTAAGTTTGCAATCTACTCTGTGAAAACCACCTAGGTTACGCCATCATAAAATAACTTTTTTCAGCTTCAGAATCATTTGCTGGATAAATAATCATGTATAAAACTGATCAATCATAAATTAGATCTGTCACTTAAACCATGGGAGAAGGCTTTCTTGAGCAGCCTTGAAAAACGTATCTTCCTTTCAAATGTTTAAAGAGCATGCTTTGTTGGTAACAAGATATGAAAACAGCAACAGGGGGGTTTGGAGAAGCTCTCATCTAAAACATCACTACATAGATGCTGTACAGAGAGTACCTTTAAGGTTTTCCTCCTACATAATAAATTCCTCTTATATAACACATCAGCTCATCCTCAGTGCCTTTCTCTGTTCAGAAACTTCTTTATCACTGAACTAACTTGCTCTATCTTAATGTTTTTGTGTCTCATTTCTTTGATTTCATGAAGAGCCTGTTATATTAGGTCTTTTTTGTTGTGACTTTCCTGAAGTGTACCAGTCAACTACTAATAAAATTTTAGCTTGTGAAAAGTTGAGGGGAAGGAGAAATCTGTTTGAAGATGTGCCCGGGACGTTTTGGAGCAGAAGTACAAACTTGGACCTCCAAAGCTGTGAGAAAAAGTTGCTCCTCCAGCAGCAGCTGCTGCAGCTGTGGAGATGGAGAACACAACTACAGGTCAGTAAAAGATCGCACGCATGTATAACTTTATCACGACACCGAACACGTTAGCATGGTGTTAAAAAGCAGCCTGCTGTGCACATTCTTCCATGAGCCGTTGAAAGATTAGAGATCTGTTTGCTTCTGTCTGCTTTATGTTGGTCATGTTCAGAGCAGCGTATGGCACACAACAAAGGAACAGCCTCTGAGCACTGAAGGTTTTTTGTGTGTACATCTGCAGGAGCATTCACGTTGTCTGTCTGTGACCTACAGCCTCAGGCATGAGCTCTACCAGAACCTGGACCTACCTTCTGTTTTCTGCTGTTTGTGTGTCTGTGCAACAAAAGCTGCACACTTCAGCTTTCACAAATATCACGAAGGAGGCTGATTACACGTCTTACGTGATAAAAGTCAATATGGTGTCAATGCATGACACAAACAGAAAAAATCCGTTATTTGTTATCCATCTGATCCTTAACTTCTCGAGGTGATCTTAGTTTAACATCTGGTGATGTGACCTAGGTGCTGTGGATGAAATCGACGGCAATATATTAATGCCTGGAATTTTCTTTAAATATATTTTTGCTGAAGTGAAAGCAAAATGCAGGTGAATTGTCACTTTTCTGGTCCAAATCAAAGGAACAGGAACGGGTCATCGTTTCAGTCAGGAGCTTGAAAAGATCTGACACGGATGAGAGCTGGAAGGAGGGAGGAAGCAGGAGATTAGTGTGAGTGGGATTTGTCAAGTCAGTGGGGTCACTGTGACGTTAATATTCTTAGATGTTTCCCCTTAATGAAATATTAAAACAATCAGATCATAATGGAACGTTGTCATTGACCAGTTTCTGTCAGTTATTCCACGTTGAATGTTTTATTTATGTGAGATCTTTGTGTGTGAGTGCCATTCAATGTGTGTGTGTGTGTGTGTGTGTGTGTGTGTGTGTGTGTGTGTGTGTGTGTGTGTGTGTGTGTGTGTGTGTGTGTGTGTGTGTGTGTGTGTGTGTGTGTGTGTGTGTGTGTGATGTAAGCCTGCCCACGGCTATGCAGTAAAATGGCCTGTGATGAATATAAATCAGGTGACTGAACAGGCCGGATTTTCTTCCCAGACAAATTCAGAGGATTGTGTAATGCCCACTCCTCCATAACTGCTTTGGATGTTCAAACACACACACACGTGCACACACACACACACACACACACACACACACACACACACACACACACACACACACACACACACACACACACACACACACACACACACACACACA